AAGGAGGTAAGAGAGTAGTGAGCCAAGGGGATAGAGTGTACCGAGCAGAGAGAATGGCAAGTGCAAAGGCCCTGAGGTAGGTATATTCTAGGCATGTTTGAGAACTAACAAGGAAGCTAGTATAATAGGAGCAGATTTGATGCTGATTTTTCTTTCCTTATGGGTTTTACAGAAAGACTTATTAGACCTTTATATTTCTGTTCTGCTTGTTTGGGTGTAAAGGATGCTTTTGCTTTGACTTTACAAGAATTGAAAAAGATAACCATGCAACTGGTAGAAGTCTGCTAGTATTAAGACCCTGATAAAAACTAGGCTTTCAGAATGAGCAAATGGCTTTAGATATAGCAGTGGGTGTCATGGATTTATGAGGGAAAACATGGCTGTCTCTGAAGGTCTGTACCATCTGGGAATGCCTTCACAGAAAGGGGGGAGGGGGGAGTCCTTACTTTGACCAAGATGGTGACCCAGGAATCTTGGCAGGAGTGACTCAAGATGGTCAGTGTGAGGCAAATGAGCCCAGTTAGAATGTATGGGAAGGTAAATCTCAACCAAAGCGTTTGTATATCAAAGCTATTTAACAGCTAGTATGACCTTTTTAAGTCTAATTTGTTTCTGCCTATTAAAATAATATGTACTTATGAAAATTTGGTATATTAAAAAGTGTAAGAAAAAATTTTTAATCCCTCTATTGAAGTATAATTTATATACAATAAGACTTATCAATTTTAAGTCTAATTTGATGAATTTTGACAAATTTATGCAGTCCTATAATTACTGTCCCAGTCATAGTGTATAACTTTTTTTTTTTAAGATTTTTTTTTTATTTATTTGACACAGAGAACGAGAGAGAGAGACAGAGAGCAAGCACAAGCTGGGGGAACGGCAGGCAGGGGAGAAGCAGGCTCCCCACTGAGCAAGGAGCCCGATGTGGGGCTTGATCCCAGGACCCTGGGATCATGACCTGAGCCAAAGGCAGACGCTTAACCAACTGAGCCACCCAGGCACCCCTATCTGCAATATTTTAGAAGCTGAGAATATTAAGGCATTGTTTCTAGCAGATCCTTAAACCAATTTGACAGATTTAGGGAGATGGACTGTGGAGGAAATCTGTGTCCTGTCTTAGGATGAATTATATTGTTTTCCTTACCTGTTCATAGTTTCATGGACCAATGTGAGGCAATGTGGAAAGCTAAAATAGATGCTAAATCTGAAGGAAGTATTTTATGGTTATTCCCCCTCTCCCTAGGCACAGGGTCCACATATTTTGCATGGACTTCTCAGTAACCACTAATACTCCAGAATTCCTGGGAAACTTGGGCCTTAGACCACGGATGTTTAAAAATCGTTGAGAGATCCCTCTGCTCAAACCACATGTGGGACAGAGAGAGTAGCAGGTGAAAAAGAGCACGTGTTTGGGGCATTTTTCTTCTGCCAGGTTGAGGCCACTAGAGAGTGAGCTGATCTGTGTGTAATCCTTTGGAAGTTTGATCCTTCATTTTCCCACAGAGATGCAGCCTATAAGGGAAGCTAGAACAGAAGCTCCACTTCTTCATCTGCAACCCCAAATGTGAGAAATATGTGGTATGGTGAAGCCATACTTATGTTCATATTGAGAGACTAAACATAATTGAAATAAAAGAATCACAAAGGGGCACCTGGGTGGCTCAGTTGGTTAAGTGTCTGCCTTCGGCTCTGGTTATGATCCCAGGGTCCTGGGATCGAACCCCAGCATCAGGCTCTCTGCTCAGCAGGGAGTCTACTTCTCCCTCTTCCTCCGCCTGCCATTCTGCCTACTTGTGTGTGTGTGTGCACGCGCGCTCTCTCTCTGTCAAATAAATAAAACCTTTTTTAAAAAATGAAAGAATCACAAAATAGGACTTACCTTATTATGTGCAATGCAATGTTATTTACTCTTTTTTCCTATTTGATTAAAACAAACTACTAGGGGCGCCTGGGTGGCTCAGTTGTTAAGCGTCTGCCTTCGGCTCAGGTCATGATCCCGGGGTCCTGGGATCGAGCCCCACATCGGGCTCCCTGCTCCGCGGGAAGCCTGCTTCTCCCTCTCCCACTCCCCCTGCTTGTGTTCCCTCTCTCGCTGTGTCTCTCTCTGTCAAAATAAATAAATAAAATCTTTTAAAAAATAAAAAAATAAAATAAAACAAACTACTAGTTACCGCTTACTAATTGTATTATACACCCACACAGTAGAGGTCTGCTCCATGTCTCTCGTCTCCATTTTACAAACCAGAAAACCGGAACCCAGAGGGAGCCAGGGACTTGGAGATTTTCTCCAAGCAATTGAGTAGCTGAACTGGGACTAGAATCTGGCTCCACCTCACTACAGGGTAAATCAGTTGTCTCCCTAACTCCACCTCATATTTGGCAGTTTCTTCTGTCATCAGCTTGTCTCAGGCGAGGATTAGCCTTATTTTTCTTGCCTCTCTACCCAAGGTAATGATGATTCTCCAGGGAGCAATGTCCTGCGGACTGCCAGAGTCAGGTGCTGGGGGGAGGGTGGCAAGGTACCACATCATACCCAGCAGCTAATGAATACACTGAGGACCTGGGAGGAGGAGATGAAGACATACACCTGGCCTTTTGGCCTCCAGCCACACCCATACACCCCATACTCTAGAGAGTTGCCATGAAGGACCAGTTTTTGTTGTAGATTTTTTATTAGGGTAGGGATGGGTAAGAGAGATACCTGGAGAGAGAGATTTTTCTACTTAATTGAATACACTTAAGGAATTTTGAACAGAGTTGGAAAGGGATTCACATTGGTGTTACCATTACTTTGACGACTAAAGCAGTTTATACTTTAAGGAAAGGTTTGGATTGTGTTTCTAAAGCCTGGACCATGAGGAGCGTCTTGTACATTGACAAGTAATTATGGTACCTCGTTTGTTTTTGGGTACTGGGAGACCGACCGAGTCAGTACAGTAGCTTTTCTTTGGTATTGCTCTTACTCCAGAGGTCTTCTCAGTGGATTAGTATGAACTAGTCTGTGCAGACTCTAAGGAAGGTCTGGTGTGGCCAAGTATCTCAGAGCTCCACCTTCTGGAGAGAGTCTGGAATGGCTGGAATGTACTCATCCTTGGAGCTTAGAAACCTCAGCACATGCCCTCCTGAGGGCTTCTGTGATGATGAGAAGGTGGTGCCAGGAGAGAAATCAGGACCTTTGGTTTTCGTCTCTGTGCATATAGGAAAGCTTATTGATTCCTAATCCTCGAGTCCAGTTGGGGCCCAGAGTCGGATCTCTCTAAAAAGAGATTAACAACCTGTTTAAACTTTTTAAGAGAGGCTGCGTTATAAATAGAAAATATACGTGGTGAAGGCACCCTCACACCAGGCTAAATGTCCCATGTACATGGGAGGAATGCTGTATCAGGGCACTAGTTTCAAAGACCCTGGGACCTAGAGGTGGTCCTGTGAGGACATCCAACAGTTTGAGGTTCATTTGGGAGCTGTGGCTTGTTGTCCCTGGCCCTGGATGAGTTTCCTCACCTCCCCAAATCAGTGTCATTGTTTGCAACAGAGAGGAGAATAGTGTCTTCTTCACGGAAAGTATCCCACGGACCAAATGAGGTAAGTTTCTGTAATGAGCCTAGCATGTAATGGGTGCTTGACTCGCCTTAGAGGACAGTGGGCACATCTTCAGCAGACCTATTCTCATCACCAGCATGTCAGTTGGGGTAATGGGAACTGGAAGAGTTCTCATTAAGAACCCTACAGATAATGGAATGTCCCATGGCCTGTAAGTAGTGCTAGTAGCAACTGTGTAGTCTGTAAACTACAGGCAGAAAACAGAACTAGCTTGACATGCCTTGAAGTGGTTAACGGCTGCATAGAGGTTGCTTTGCTGAGATCTGGGGTGTTTAGGGATGCAAAGTCAGGTCTAAGGCCCTGAACCTCAGAGTGGATGAGGGAGCCCTGATTACCCCAGGAGCACAGCTTTGGTTTAAAGGTGTGCCCCAGCTTTTGGAGATCAGGATGGAATTGATAAAAATAGTCAGTGACCTAGAACACCACGTATCTTTTTAAATGGAGTTAGCCAGCCTTGATCAGTTGTTTTTAGATACAGACGTTAATCATTAAAGCTAGGCCCAAGCTCCACTGCTAGTAAGGTTAATGGGGCTTGTCTTTGGCCTTGGGGTTGGAAGGAGGGGAGTGGACACCCTGGGGGAGTAAATCTTACCAGATGGTGAGTAAGCAGGTTTTCCCTTTAACTGCATTTTATAAAAATATAATTAACGACTAAGAACCCTAATGTAATCTAGGATGATGAGGCAGTGTAGGTTCAACATCATTTCTAACAAACGTATCACTCTGATGGGAGATATTGATAACCGGAAGGCAATGGCATGTGTGGGGGCAGGTAGTTATGTGGGCAGTTATCTTCCTCTCATTTTTGCTCTGAACCTAAAACTACTCTAAAAAAATAAAGTATTAAAAATATGTATGTATGGGGACGCCTTGGTGGCTCAGTCGGTTAAGCGGCTGCCTTCGCTCAGGTCGTGGTCCCGGGGTCCTGGGATGGAGCCCTCGGATGGAGCCCTGGTGCGGGCTCCCTGCTAAGCGGGAAAGCTGCTTCTCCCTCCGCCCCTCCCCCGGCTCATGCGCGCGAGCGCGCCCTCGCTCTCTCAAATAAAATCTTTAAAAAAATGTATGAAGTTAATCTTACTAGAAGATGGTAAGATTTAAACTGAATTATTTGGTTTGAAATGGGCCTTTACCTTACCGTGGCTTTGCATTTTTCCCGCCTAGTGGAGGGCACGGGTAATTTGGGGACGCCTGGGGCCAGTCCCTGCGTGTCGGAATCTGGCCCCGCCCCGCGGTATCTCCGGCTGTTTGTTTCTGCGGGAGGAGGCGGAGCCGGGGTGGGCGGCGTGGGCGGGGTCCTGCCTGAGGTCCGGCTGTTTGTCTTTCTGCTGAAGTGCTCTCGGCTCTAAGGCGGTTCCCAGGACGCTTCCAATGCCAGTGTCTCTCTTTGCTTCCGGCAGAGCGCCCTGGCCCGCGCGACCGAGGACTTGAGGCCAGACAGACGGACGCACGGACAGACGACAGACGGAGGACGCGCTGGCCGCTGGACCCCGCTGCCTCCCCCTTCTCCCTGCCGCCTGCGCCTGGAGGATGAGCCCAGCCTTCAGGGCCATGGACGTAGAGCCCCGCACCAAGGGCGTCCTGCTGGAGCCCTTTGTCCACCAGGTCGGGGGGCACTCATGCGTGCTCCGCTTCAACGAGACGACTTTATGCAAGCCCCTGGTTCCGAGGGAGCACCAGTTCTACGAGACCCTCCCAGCCGAGATGCGCAAATTCACTCCCCAGTACAAAGGTGAGCCCCCGCTGCCATAGGGGTCCCCATCGCCTGGCGAGGAGATGCGAGGCGGCGCAGCCGTGGAAGGCCCGGGCAGCCATCCCGGGAGCCCTCACCCCTCCCCTCACTCTTGTGTTTTCCCTCCTCCTCCTCTTGGCCCTGAGCCCAGCGCCTCACACCCTCAGTTTGCAAGCCCTGGTAAGATTGCTCAATTGTTTTGTTTTGTGGATTTGTTTTGAGTTTATTTTTGGTGGAAGTGTAGTTGTGTTTTATGTTCAGGTGTCTCTTGATCACAGTAACCCATAGCCCCCATGGGGGAGCAGCGGGGGAAGACTTTGGGAGGATTTTACCCAGAATCCTTGCAGCCTGCTTTTTGTCCTCCAGGAAACCAGAAGCCCTGGTGATTAGGTAGGCTGGGAGCAGGGTTGAGTCAGATGGAATGCAGGAGTGGGAGGCCTGTGCTGATTAGCTGAAGCCCTTTGCTATTACGGAATGTCCCCGAAATTGCAATGTTATGGCAACCCTTTGATTCACATATGGTGACTCTCTCTTTCTTTTTATAATGCATTTTTGGGGGTGACATCAGCAGCCACCAGCATGGTGTGGTCTTTCCTGGGGTGGGGGGATATTTTGTAAATCAAAGAATCCATTAAAAGAAAGAAATTAAATATACATTGCCTGGTTATACAAAAGACTCTTGAACAACTTAGGTTCTTCTGGGACTGTTGAAACATGCTCTTTGAAGACAGAATGTACTGGGCGCCTCTCTCTGTACTCTGAATATGCATGTGTGTTATGGTGGGGAGGTGGGGGAGTTGAGGGCCCTCACTTGGTCCTTCTCTGTTGTTTTTTCCAGGACAAAGCCAAAGGCCCCTTGTTAGCTGGCCGCCCCTGCCCCCTTTTTCCCCCTGGTTCTTTCCCCATGGCCACAGGGAAGTGTGGTCCCCTGAATTCCCCACCCCAGCTCCTCTGCTCCTCTGCGCCCAGAGCCAGGGATCACCTCAGAAGTGTCATCTCTCTCTGAGCACGCATTCCCCTGCAGCGAGCAAGCGAGCGAGCGGGCGGGCAGCAAGGACTGAGCAAATTGAGTGATCCCGGGCCAGAGAGGCCTGGGAGGAAAGGTGTTCAGCCAGTCGGTTGTAAGGCGCTCGTCGGCACCTGCTGAAACGCTCCCACCTGGCAGCCCCCTCCTCAAAGACTGTCTAATTACACTTGGCAGGTTCTAGAGACTCAAGGGGGAGAGCTGCTTTCAAGGCCACCACGCGTCTGTGCTCCCGGCCCGACCCTATTTGCCTTGTGTTCATTTTGTTCTTTTGTGACTGCAAAGACCAATAAAGTAACATGTTTGAGGACAAAAGGCTTGGGGTGCCCACCCGTGTGGGGGTGCTGCAAGAAGCCTTTGCTAGGGTGTCTGTTGTGCTGTGTGGTTTGTTTTGTTTACTCCTTTATTTTGTTTTGCTTGCCCAGTCTTCCCTACCCTTGGATGCTTCGTACCCCTCAGGGCAAACCTTTGTTCCCCCTGTGTTCAGGCTCTGCTTTAAAGCAAACCTCAGGCCTTCAGAGTTTCTGTTTAGGGCATCAAAAAATCCCACAAGATATAAAGAGCAAATGTTTTTACGTCTCTCTTAGGATTAGAAGAATTACATAAAACTTAATAAACATTTTCAATGATGGAAAAATGTGTCTTGTAATTCTTTGGCTCTTGCCTTGTTGAGTGCATCAGAGAGGAAGACTCTCGGCCATGTTTGCTCCCTAATCGCTTGTCTTGTATGGTGTCATCTTTTCTAGCTGTTTTGATATTTGTTAGGTTTGCAGATGAGTTTGGGGCCTCTGGCAACATAGAGACTAAGGAACAGGGTAAGAAAAAAACAAATGTTACAATCATGTTATTTATAACACATCTTCTGTGGAATTAAAAGTTCTCTCTGCTCCTCACCCCCCTTTCAGGTGTGGTGTCTGTACGCTTTGAAGAAGATGAAGACAGGAACTTATGTTTAATAGCATATCCATTAAAGGGGGACCACGGAACTGTGGACAGTGTAGACAATTCAGACTGTGAACCAAAAAGTAAGCTCCTGAGGTGGACAAACAAAAAACATCATGTCCTAGAAACAGAAAAGAGCCCCAAGGACTGGGTGAGGCAGCACAGGAAAGAGGAGAAGATGAAGAGGTAGGTATAAACTGAGCGGGGGGTGGGCACTCTGTACTCTGTGGAAGGGGAGGTGTCAGGGGATCGTAGTTACAGCCCAGGTCCCTGGAGCTAGGGACTCAAATGATGGACTTAGTAGGTGTCTTGTCACTCAGTGGCCAGTTCCCAGGTGGCAGCTTCTCTTTAATGATTCTGGGTTACACTTTTGAAGTTTGTGTTAAATATTAGCATTTTAAGATGAGTATTTTTGAAATAGAAAATAGAAAAGACATAGTAGATGTTTTCTTAATGTATTATATGTGAAGCTAAAAGGCAATGCCATTTATCTCTTCAGCACTGAGGTTACCTTTGGATTGTAGAAATATCATGTTTCTTATTTTTTTTTAATTTTTCTTTTAAAAAAAAGATGTATTTAGAGAGAGAGCATGCACGCACACATGAGTGTGCAGCGGGGAGGGGCAGAGGGAGAGGTAGAGAGAGAATCTTAAGCAGACTCCCTGCTGAGCTCGGAAGCCTGTGCTGGGCTCGATCTCACGACCCTGAGATCATGACCTGAGCTGAAACCAAGAGTTGGACACTTAACCACCTGAGCCACCTAGGCACCCCAGAAATACCACATTTCTTTCGTATTTTATAATTAGGACAAAAGATAATCACTTGATTTTTCAAATATAGGTTGGGTGTGTACAAAAAGGGAGTTTTGTGCACTTTCTAAAATAAAAATGACCTTTACCAAATTTATGGAAAGCTTCATAAAAATGTACCTTTTTTTTTAATATTTCATTTATTTGAGAGAGAGCATGGGTTGGGGAGGGGGAGGGGCATAGGGAGAAGGAAAAGCAGACTCCCTGAGGAGCAGGGAGTCCGATGACATGGGGCTTGATCCCAGAACCCTGAGATCATGACCTGAGCTGAAGGCAGATGCTTAACCGACTGAGCCACCCAGGTGCCCCATTAAAAATGTACCTTTAGGGGCGCCTGGGTGGCTCAGTTGGTTAAGCGACTGCCTTCGGCTCAGGTCATGATCCTGGAGTCCCGGGATCGAGTCCCGCATCGGGCTCCCTGCTCAGCGGGGAGTCTGCTTCTCTCTCTCCCACTCCCCGTTTGTGTTCCCTCTCTCGCTGTGTCTTTCTCTGTCAAATAAATAAATAAAATCTTTAAAAAAAAATTTTAAGTGCAATTTTACCACTTTGGCCTTTGAAAATATATCCTAAGTCTAGGAGCTGATTTTTATTTTATTTGTTTATTTTTAATTAAAAAAAAAAAAAACGTTTTTTTAAGTAGGCTCCCTGCCCAGTGGGGAGCCCAACTTGGGGCTTGAATTCACAACCCTGAGATCAAGACCTGAACTAAGATCAAGAGTCAGATGCTTAACTGATTGAGCCACCCAGGCACCCCTAGGAATTGATTTTTAAATGGAAGTTATGAACAAAGGAAAGTACAGACTTAACAATGAATCAGATTTGCACCATATCACCCAAATCCACTTATATTAATGCAGACATGGAGCGCCTGGGTGGGTCAGTCAGTTAAGTGTCCAACTCTTGATTTTGGCTCAGGTCATGATCTCAGGATCGTGAGGTGGAGCCTGCTTAGGATTCTCTATCTCCCTCTCCCTCTGCCCCTTCCCTGATCTCTGTCAAAAAAAAAAAAAAAAAGAAGCAGATATAATGAAGTCATCTAATTTGTTGTTTATTCTGCCTTATAAATATAAATAACCTTTATAACCTTTTGTTAGGATATAACCTGCTAGTTAATTTATTTTGAAATAAAGTCTAATCATACAAGGTAAAAAAAAAAAAAAGACTCTGGATTAAATTATGCCATTTTGGATAAACAGCTACAGTGGCAGCTATAAAAGAGTTTTAGTCACTCACTGCTTCCGCAGCTGCCCTGTGCCAGGCCCTGTGCTGCATCCTGGGGATGCAGCAGTAACCGAGACAGGAGCCATCCCAGCACCTCAGGTTGTTCACTGATGGTGAGAGACAAAATGGTCAGTTACGTATCCCTGAAATGTAGGATCCACCTATACAGAGCCTTCCAGGTGCCACTCCTTGGCAGAGCTTGTAAAAATATAAATAATATATATAAATCGAAGTACTTACAATGTAGTTAAGGAAGTTGGCTTATTCCCATGGGATTTCAATTCAGCTTTCCCCAGTCTCCAGCATTTGGAATCAGGGAACCTGCACGTATCAGAAGCCGGGGGGGTGGTACCACCTAGAAGAACAGGGCAGTAAAGGCTGCTTGGGAGGGAGTGGTGGGGGTGCAGGGGAGGAGGCAGAGGCTGTTCTTGCATCTTAGGTTTTCCTTACTGTAGCAAAAACAGTGAGCTGGCCCCTTAATTTTTTAAAAATCAACTTTTTGAGGTATAATATACTTAATAATAAAATGTATGCGTTTGAAGTGTTTAATGTATACACTGAAACCACCACCACATCAAGATCTCAAACTTCCCACCACTCCAAAAGTTCTTTCATGCCTCTTTGGCCCTGAATTTTGGTAAGACATTGTGATTTATTGGCTTCTTGTCTCCTTACACAGCCATAAATTAGAAGAAGAATTTGAGTGGTTAAAGAAATCTGAAGTCCTGTACTACAGTGTAGAGAAAAAGGGGAATGTCAGTTCCCAGCTTAAACACTATAACCCTTGGAGCATGAAGTGTCACCAGCAACAGTTACAGAGAATGAAGGAGAATGCAAAACATCGGAACCAATACAGTATCCTTTGTTCACAGAGTATCTCTGCCTTGGGGGAGGAGAGGGTGGGTGAGATCCTAAGAGCGCAGAGAAGTTGGGTTTCTTTTCTAGTCACGGTTGTGCCAGGGCACCCTATGCGGTAACCGCGGGCAGATATCCTTTCCCACAGGAGCAGGGGCTGATCTGGGAACACAGGTGGTGGGGAAGCAGGTGAGGGGCACCCCATGGACGGACCAACCTGCACCAGGGAGCCTTCAGCCTAGAGTGCAAGGGGCTGATTCGTGTTTTCAGAAGTTCCCTTGCTTACCTGCCAGGGTTGGGGTGGCGGGTGGGTGCTGACCTTTCAGTCCTGGTTCACCAGACTGGCACATGAAGAATAGCACAGGGGCCTTTCTTTTTCCCCCTGCTAGCCCATTAAGCTGTGTTTCACTGATTTCTTTCTTTTTTTAATCTTAGGAGGGGGAAATTCCTCAGAATTGAGCATGCTTTATTTTTTATTTTTAACTTTTTACTTTTTTTATTTATAAATTTATAAATTTTTACACATTTAGTTTTACTGTAACAAAGCAACTTGTACACTTGCATCATCTTTCCTTTCCAGTGAAACAAAAAGAAAATTTAAAAATAAACAGGAACAAAATTACAATAGAGAATGTCAATTCCAAATAAGATCATACGGGTTCTACTGCTTCTCCCATCGAGTGGCAGCGGTCAAGTCATCATTAGGAGAGAGTTTTATTTTAAATATTTATTTATTTGACAGAGAGAGACAGCGAGAGAAAGAACACAAGCAGGGGGAGTGGGAGAGGGAGAAGCAGGCTCTCCACTGAGCAGGGAGCCCGATGCGGGGCTGGATCCCAGGACGCTGGGATCATGACCTAAGCCGAAGGCAGATGCCTAATGACTGAGCCACCCAGGCGCCCCCTACTAGGGGATATTTTAAACATGTTAAACATAGAATAATACTTTGAATTTATAAGTACCAGTGACCCAGGTTCAGCAGTTAACTCACTTATGTCCGACTCATGCCATGACTGTCTTCTTACACTTAGCACCCTCAGCCGAGCTCTTTCTGAAGTGTTTCATGGATCTCTAAGAGAAGGATATTTTAAGACATTATTACCATTATTGCTCCTTGAAAGTAGACAATAATTCCTTATTATCAAATATCTAGTCTGTCCACATTTTCCTAATTGTCTCATAAATCTGTTTTTACTGATGGATTGTTTGAATGGGGATCCATGTGAGGTTCATATGTTGTATTTGGTCGAAATGTTTAAGTCTTTTTAAATACCCTTTCTGTTTTTTCTTCTTGGAAATTTCTTGTCAAAGAAACTAGGTGTTTGGGGTATCTGGGTTGTGCAGTCAGTTAAGCGGCTGACTCTTGGTTTCAGCTCAGGTCCTGATCTCAGGATCATGAGATCAAGCCCCGAGTCGGGCTCTATGCTCAGCGGACAGTCTGCTTGAGACTCTCTCCCTCTCCTCCCCCCCCGCCCAATAAATAAATCTTTAAAAAAAAAAAAAAGGAAAAACTAGGTCTTCTAAAGTTTCCCACCATCTGGATTTTACTGATTACATTCCTGTGGTGTCTTTCACATGTTACTCTTTTCCCTCTGTTTCCATTAAGTTGATAATTTGATCTCCAGGCTTGATCGATTCAGGGTCAGTTTTGGGGTGGGGCCAAGAATCCTTCTGCGATGGTATTGGCCGTACGCAAGTGCACTGTTTGTCTTTCTCTCCTGTATTGCTGTTGCCTTAGATCATTTTTCCACTAGGCAGTTTTCTAATTTTGTAGTTCCTTAGCTAGAATCTGTAAAGATAAACTTTTTCTCTTCAACTATATGCTTATCCTGAGGTATAGTTGATATAGGAAAGGCAGATTAAATGTTCCTTTTCTTTTATTTACTAAATACTTGGAATAATGGGTGGGTTTTTCAACATCCTCCAAAGGTGACCAGTGAGTTTTTCAGCATCATTATGAATCTGTGAATTTAAACATACTTGATGTGGTTTAGTCCATTGCAGTTTTTATCTGTACTGATGCACAAATTCTCCCATGTTTGGTCTTTTAAAATAGGCTCTTGAGTCCTTCTGACACAATCACGATAGTCTGTGATGACTGTCTTACTTTCTGGTATGAAAAGATGCTCCAGGGCCATGTATGTTTCCTGCTCCAGATGTGAGTTCCTCATTTCTCTAAGGCAGGAGTTACAAGCCTTTTCAGGCGGGGGCCAAATAGTAAATGTTTCAGGCTTTGCAGGCAGTACGGTCTGTCACAGCTCTGCCATTGTGGCACGAAAGTACCCATAGATGATAATGTAAATGAGTGAGCGTGACTGTATCCCAGTAAAACTGTGGTCACCAAGATTTGCATATCATTTAATTTTCATGTGTCGTGAAGTATTATATATATTTTTTGATGACCTAAAAATTTAAGAACAATTTCTAGTTTGCAAGCCATATAAGTAGGGAGCCATAGTTCACCAATCCCTGCCCTAGGAAAACTGGTCTGGGTGCTGGGGTGCTCATACATCTAGCAGGTCATTGTTTCTAGACCTTTTCGGTGCCACAGTGGGGAAATTCACATTTATTTTTTTTTTTTTAAAGATTTTATTTATTTATTTGAGAGAGAGAGAATGAGAGAGAACACATGAGAGGGGATAGGGTCAGAGGGCAAAGCAGACTCCCTGCCTAGCAGGGAGCCCGATGCGGGACTCGATCCAGGGACTCCAGGATCATGACCTGAG